AACATGGACATAAATGAAACACTCACACAGGACGAAAACGAGCCCCATCTTCGCCACACTAAGGCACATTATACGCTTGTGTGAGAGATCACTCTACATGCTCTGTGGCTACGGGAGTGGTGGAGGCTAACAGTAGATGATCACTGGCAAACAATGAGAGACATCATCCAGAATTCTGTCGTAGACAGTGCACCTCAGTCACACCACACGGCCGGAAATAGAAGAACACGGTACAGAACGCCTGCCACAGGCGAAAAGGAGGGCCTGGCAAAAGTGGAAAGTCTCCCTGAAGGATTTTGATGGTAGTTTAGTGGTTTACTTTTACGAAGAAAACACAACTGCTGAAATATTAACATTTATGATTGTACTTAATTTTGAAAATAATTGTTATATTGTGCACCTCTTGTTTATCTGTACTAAAGACTCTCTGTCGCGCACCAAGCATGTTATTCCCATTCTCCTTTTCACACGTCTCCTGTGTGGACGTTAGCCGTTTGTACACCCTCTTGCCTCGATATTATTTCGATATCACGAGGCCAGTATCAAATATACTTCTTCCTCTAGAATCGCTTTCTTATTTGATTTTCAGAGTTCGTGGACTAACATTTGTTATCCCTCGAAGAAGTATATCGTACGTATTGCTACAGTAGTTCTTACTTGGCATTGAGAAACAGATGCAATACCAAAGTTCGAAGTGATAGGAGACGATTTCAGATGAAGCTAGCTGTTTAAATACTGGCAAACCCAAAGCATATGTTTAGGTTCATGACCAAAAGAAAACCTACACATCAGGGTTTGTGTTCTCTCAAAGGTCCGAATGAGGAAGACCTCACCACCCTTGAGATGGCTGATATCTTCAACACCAACTTCAGTGATCAGTTAAACCAGGAATCCACATGTTCAGAGTACTACGCAAACTCAGTGCCAGGTGACGGCTTAGGGAATATCCGTATTACTCCTGACGTAGTACTAAGGAAACTGAAATCCTTACGCCCAGGAAAGTTACTAGGTGGTGACAATATTCGCTACATAAGTCTTGAAACAGTGTGCAGAAGTTCTCTGTTTACCGATATGTGACCTGCTCAGGCATTCACTGGAGTCACACTCACTTCCAGCTGAATGGAAACAAGCTACTCTCTCTCCAATATTCAAACGAGGAGATAGGAAGGATCCAGTCTGTTACAGACTAGTTGCATTACTATCGATACTGTCAAAGGTAATGAAAAGGTTGATGAACGAACAAATGAGGGAGGACATGGATACGAATAAAATACTTCATGAAGCTCAACACAGGTTTCAGATATGCAGGTCGTGCGCATTCAATCTTCTCATAGCATGGGACAGTTTGACATTCTGTTTGGACTGGAAAATACTGGCGCACGTAATATTTCTCGACTTTGCAAAAGCCTTTGACACAGTACCCCACGCGTCCCTAATCGCAAAGGTTGTGGAAATGGGCTTCACTTAATTACTCCTATCTAGGCTCAGAAACTACGTTGAGAATATAAAGTTTCAAACCAAGTTAAATAGAGTGCATGCGAGTATCCACATCGCGAGTTTCACAGAGGACCATCTTAAGTCCACTTCTCTCCCGATATTCATTAAAGAGCTGTTAGGCAAAGTTAGCTCACCAGCATTGATCTACACAGACGATACGAATATCTGGAGGTCCATAAGAAGCGAAGAGGATTCGACTGAGCTTCAAAGTGACCTTACATTTATTGAGGAATGGGCAATGAAAAAATGTTTAAAACTAAGCCAGCCAAAATGTCACGTCATGTACATTCTGCCCCACATGATGCGAACGATGTACGCTCTCAATCAAAGTCCGCTCCCTCAGGGCGTGGTCTCGGTTTAATAACCACTGAAAGCCTCCAGACAAGCCCGAACTATATAGGGGACGCAGCCAAGGCCAATGCCACTCTTCACTTTATGCGAAGTCAAGTTGGTGCTATCACCCCACGATTTTTCTTAACGTCATTTAAGACATACGCACGCCCACACCTAAAAGTTCATAACTTCGTCGCACCCCTTTTGCTTAAAAGAGATATAAGTCTCTTGGATCGAGTGCAGAGACGAACAATGAAATGGGTGATAGTGTTGAAGAACAAACCTTACGAAGATAGACTCCAGCACTTGAGATTATTCCCCTTGAGTTACAGGAGAATCAGAAGTGATCTGATTATGGCGTACAACATAGTAAGCACGCCAAACCATCCCAACGTGAGCATCTTACTGATGCATCACCACTACTCCCCTCGAGGCAATGCTCGAAAAATTGCGAATCAAACAGCGAATACTCAGGTTAGTGCACACATTTTCTCATTAGGAGTCGTTGCAACTTGGAATGCTCTCCCACATTTTGTATATAAGCACACTAATTTATAGTAAAAAACTTATTATTCTATCTAGCCTGCCGTTCCTTGATTTCAACCAGCATTCTTCAATCGACTACACCTTATCACTTATCGATCAGTTTTGTTTTCATTCGTCTTGATAACCATAACTTTGCCTCATTACTCCCCAAAATCTTGCCCGAGAATACAACTAGATACTGGTTAATTAACAGTTGGAACTAAAGACCATAGTGCAATAGATTCGAGAAAGAATAACCCATTGTCATATGTATCAATAAACATGGTTCGTAATCCTACATATGTCAGCCTAATTTTTATCTGGAAATTGTGTTCATATTGTATTATATGATGCCTGAAATTCATTAGAATTGATTTCCTACACACACGAAGGTTGGATGTGTTCGTCAGTCAGGTTTAGTGAAGTTGTGAGTAATGTCCCAGTAATTAAGCTAAGCCAGCTAACAAGATTGCATTGAGGCTACATGACCTAGTACTATTTTGAAGTTGAGAAGAATATGGTGCGAAGAGGTGGATGGTTAGTCGGTCAGTTACAACATAGAAATTCGTACATACGTATATCAGTCAATCAATCAAATAGCAACGTAAAACTTTGTACGTATGTACAACAGTTCATGTTGCCATACGAAATTAGCACAGAGATGTATTTGTCAATTCAAATACTATAGTAGTAGAGGTAGTAAAGATATCAGCAATAGACGGAGAGGTTAGAATTAGAAGATATAATTCAAGAAGTAGAATCTAGTGAAATCAACTTTAAAAGATAAAGTGATGAAGAAATAAAAAGTCCAGGATTTGAGAAAACTCAAAGAATAAATGCACCGGCGCCATTGCATACGGTTTTGAGCCATGTCATTCAGGGTCTCTAACCATCGATTATTATCATCTCGCAGACCCCAACCAGGTAGTCGACACCTACCGACATGACTCAGTCCACTTGTCAGTAACTTCATGGATTTCTGTCATGTTTTGGTCTGGCCGCCCCTAGCTTTCTTCCAACCTATTCTTACACCACAAAACATAGCTCGTCGAGGCAGTCGGTGGTTGGGCATTCGTAACACATGTCCCAACCATCTGAACTGATGGAGTTTCACTACTTCATTTATTGATCTGCCATCCCTACCAAGTACTCGTTTCTTAACGACGGCATTGCTTACTCTGTTGTCCCAGGATATACGAGCAATGCTTCGGAGACATCTATGTTCGAAGACAAGCAACCTACGAATGTCCTTTACTCTCACCGACCATGTTTCGTATCCGTATAGTAGGATAGAGCGAACTGCTGCGCAGTAAACTCGACTTTTGGTTAACAAACTGATATCTGGCCTGCGCCGTATGTGAGGCAAGTTTGAAAAAGCCAATCGATCTTTCTGTATCCGTGCTGATGAGACTCCCGAGGTAAGTGAAGCTGTCTACACGCTCGACTGCTTCACTCCCTATCACTAGTTCAGGTGCCAATAGAAGCCAAGCATGAAGCAGTGTTTTGCAATTCGAGGGGGGAAACCGCATCTCGAACATGCTTGCATTATTGCTTAGGGTAGTAAGAAGACTGTATTTTGTCAGCGTCTTCACCAACGCAGGCAAGATATCCGTTTGCTAACAAAAGGTCGAGTGTACTGCGCAGCAGTTCGCTGTGTCCCACTATACGGATTCGATGGCATGTGATACCAGAGTCCTAGCTAAGGAAGCCTGTTGTCCTATTTGACACAATGTCCGTTTTCAGGAGACCCGGAATAACGTTTCCTGAACTCGAAAGCGGCTCGAGGTGACAAAAGAACGAAAGGGTTTATCGTGGAGATAAGAGAGTTAATTGGAGGTGTAGGAAGGATGTGATTGTGGCCGATTCGGTCTCGTGTGCTTCTACGGGTATGAGGGCGGTTGTCACTTCCCGGCTGCCCACACAGTGGACGGGTGCTTCTTGAGGAACCTGAAAAGGAAATCGGCTTAACGTTGGTTTTAGAGACCCGAGAGTGTGATCGCAGGGCAGAAAGGACATTTACTTGAGTTTGGTTACGCACGGCCTTTTTATGGGAGTTTTTTAAAGTGTGAGCGTTACCACCGGAGACGGAAATCCGTGAGGTAAGGTGAGGTATAACATTTGTAGCGTCGATCTTTCTAACTATTTCTTCCTTGTGAGAAGGCAGCATCGCTACAGACGCTGGTTGTCCGAGGGAGACACTTTACTTCTGTCACACCCCTCTACAGTCAGCATTATTATTTGGCTCCAATACCTTGAGTTGCTGCGTTTAGTCTCATCGTTCTCAAATCGACCTACCTGGCATGGTAGGACCTACAGGAACATATGTTCCAGCCAATATAGCTCGGTTGGGTCATAACGGTAGGCAAGCCCGATCAGCACGTAAAGGTAGCAGCTACGGTTGGGTAGTTTGAACAAACATCACTTTCCTATTGGCATGAAAATATTGTCAATATCTGTAATCTAGTAAAAAACAGTCTAACATGAGTTGAAATAAACGCGTTCGTCTTGTATTTTTGCTAATCATTGGAATCTCAGAGGCTTTTCTGAATTTGTTTAATGGTTAGAAGATTACAACACAAGATGGTCTTCATCACATTCTCAGAACCATCAAACGATCGGCCGATTAGGATATAAGAAAAGTTAACTTGTAATTAAATTTGCCATATTATTAAGAAACAGTTTGCACAACACTAATGATTGTTTGAACCAAAGAGATGATATTAAATACGACACGCACACAGTTACAGAAAGTCAATTGGTTTTCATTGAAATGCACCAGGAAAGTTACTCAAAGTGAGAAATAAAACTGGAAATTAGAAATGCAGAAGTTAGCGTTTTCAGACGATGAGTTCTTTTCATTCGTTTGACCAAAACGCATTTGATAAACCACCGGGAGGTTGAGCCGTTTTAACTGACGTGTGTATTTTTCTCTGACCAGGTGGTAAGGCCACTAAAAGTATTGAAAAAAATATTTGAAACAAGCTATGTGAGCTACAAATAATTTGTTGGTATAGAATGAATGCTGTACGACACACTTTACATTTTCAGTGCTCATATGACAAAAGTATTTTTTAACATGAAACAGATGGTTGTATTTTCTTATTACTCTCTTCAAGACAATACTATTTTAATAGAGCAACCGAATTATAAGTTTAGTGTGTTTATGTAAAAGATCCATCAATCATCAGAGTTTTTAGCCAAGCAATCAATCATCTAGTTGGGCTATTTTTTATCGTATCTTAGTTACACAGTTCGTATAGAAGTAATAAACTTTGAGTGGTCACTATAATTACGTGATGTAACAGAAATGACACGGAGATAGTTAATAGACAACTAATGATAACAGGTGATATGCATTAGAATTTTTCTAGTGACCTATTTACTCATTTAAATATTGACCTGTTAAACTCGCTATTTAGTTGGTTTACTAATAATGACTCAAATTATCCCCAAGCTGAGATGCTGAGAAGGTTTGGATCTAGGACCATAGTGCATATTTTCAAACTATGACTGCATGAGAATAGATGAAAACTATAAAGCATTTTGTTGCCTTCATTAAAATAAACGAAATGTGATTAACAGTAAAATCTAGGATGCGCGTTTTGTCTTATTCAGAACTCGTTAGCTAAATGTACTGGCATCCTAGTGTTGATATTCACTTTTCTCTTTGTTTTCTAACGTGTGCAAAAATACAAACTGTACATAGCAAAAATATCCAACTAACCTTTAGGCATATTATCATAGTATTCTTTTCGAAAGTAGTAACCTTCCTTGTTATCATTCGAAACTTCAGTTGTCTTGGAAACTGCATCTCCTACGTATGGCTCACGTACGAGCATTGCAAATTCGGAATTTACACTCTTTTCCATTGCATCGACACGAGCATATACATAATGAGAGAATGGTCGGCAGACAACCAGTTTCCCAAGAGTGGAAGTGTCATTTAAAAAATCACTATCCTGAACGGCAATATGACCATGTAGTATAACCATTTCAGGACCCGACTGATACGCAGTGTTAGAAAATATGTTAGGCACACCATCAGGTAAAATGCTTTTCAAAACTTCTTGTTTAAAGGAGTTTGACCAAATTAAAATATCAGCATCGGAACCTACTTCTATTCTGCCTTTTTGAGGATAAACATTAATTAGTCTTGCAGGATTAGTGCTAGTTACTTTAACAAACGTGCAAGGATCCAAAAATCCACTTTCAACCCCGAAATGCCATAATGCAACCATCCTATGACCTAAAGATGCTATACCATGAGGAATATGCACGGCATTCTTTAATCCAAAAGCTGCGCGAACTGCAGTTGTTATTGCTCGATGACTTGAACCAACGGAGGCCAAGTCTTCAGACACGAGGTGAGTCAGCAACCTTTGACTGAGATAAGCATCTGGTCGTAATGGAGGGTCGCTTATGTAACTAGCAGCAACAGCCCAATCCTTCGAATGGGTCAATACATCGTCCGGATGATCATCATAGTTCATTAAAGAAAGAGGAATAGATATTGCAGGGATACTAGTTTGTCCAAATAATATACCTCTACACATACGGCGCTGTTCAATGAAGCAATTTAGTGCTGCTTCGCTATGAATCCTAGAAACCAAAAGTGGACAACAAAATCCAGCATATTGAGAAAACAGAGATCCTTGCAATACGGTGTTAGCTTCAGCTTCTTCCGGTGAAACAAATAAATTGACTTCTGGACCAATATCAGGACAACTGATTTGCACATCTGAGGATAATTTCTGGGATAACGACACCGAAGTAGCTGCTTCAAGCATAGGTATCACACCTAGCTGCCGACAGGACTTTAAGAAATAATAAAACTCTTCTTCACTGATACTACAGTGTTCACTATCTACCGTAGTTGAAGATTTTGAACCCAAATGAACGGAAAACAACACAACTCCTTTGTCTTGAACTAAAGTAATCAGATCATTGTTAATTTCTGTTGAGAAGCCAGCCAACCGCAAGCATACACCATAATTGCAGGCTAATTTTTCATGGACTGACGATATAAACTGATCATATGAGTTTATTAGAGACTCCCCAGGATAAGCATAAACTGTGTTCACTAAGAATAAAAAAGATTGCATACATATGTAATAACTCAGTGAATTGCGATGAGTAATCTATTTTTCCTAAGAAATAAGATGAGATGAGTGTCTTTCGTTTATTCAGTAATGAGTGACAATCAGAAGAACACATACATTGTCAGTATTGCTGATACATTTGTGTTTATGATTTTGTTAGTGGGACATAGATGGAAATAAAGCATGACTGCGTCAGCTGCGCGCTGATTAGCTAAATCTAATCCAGTTGATCACGTGAATTTCTATCCAGAAGCTTCTCATGTAAATGCTATAAAGAAACTAACGTTGTATCTATTTTTGCCTTCGGCTTCTTATTTCCAATTAACCTTGGAATATAATCTTTTCCTGTTCAACCGGTTTTTGATTCTTTGGAACTTGTTCAGTGTATTGTGGTCAGAGAATACTAAGCAATAGGATTTAGCTGAGAATTATTTATGCAAGCGTTACAATAGATTTACATAACGCCCTGGAACTAACTCTCGTGTTTTTGGCTCACAACATAAGTTTTAGATAATGGTAATCTTAAAGGTTGGTGGCTAGCTTCACATCAAATTTAGTTCACCTATTAAATGGTGAGTAAACATCTCAGTTTGTTTGTGGCAATGGAAACTGGGCTTGTAAGGTATAGGAAGAGCATACGTTACCAATAACTGATTAAAGATAAGTTCCAAAAATTAGTCGAATATAATGAAAACACCAAGTGAGTTATGCTGATGTCGAGAGTAAAACAATAGGTAAAGAAGGCAAATTGATGAAAGAGACTGAATCTTTACCGGCTAAAGTGATTTTCGCTTATTTTGCTGATGAGTTTAAAAGTGGATGAGCTCCTGAAAACATTATATCGGGAAGCCTGATACTTATCCTCAAGATTCCCTGAAAACAACTCAAAACAATTCGTAGTGGAAGCAACAGTTAATAATGTTCCCGTTAAGAAGAGAAGGGAATAAGCATAAGCACGCGTAAAAACTGTATACGAGATTAAATTGAAAAGAATAAACGTAAGATTATTTGTGTAACCATGTCAAGTTTAAGAAGCACTTTATTTGGCATCGTAGTTGCTGATCTTCAAAGCATTGTGTACTGTAGGTGACCTTTATGGTCTTTTGTGCTTTACCTTTTACTGAAAAATGTGGTCAGCATCTGTTTTTTAAGAAGTTCAGATTAAAAGGCATGTAAACCGACTTGTTCAGCCTATCGAGCATTACTTTTTACTATAGATGTAATTTGTAGTCTCATCAAACCAAAACATACTATGAAAACGGGATTCGATACACAATCTTTCGAGTTTAGATAGTAGGGCAGGAAGTTACATTTACTTTCTTGGAAAGCATTGAGAATAACGAGACATCTAAAGTTAAGTAGATCAGAGAAAGCCAAAAGAGTTGTGTGTATTTAGACATCTGATGATAAACCCCACACTAGATATGAGGCAACGTTAGAGCTATGTCAAACTAACAAACCTAGTATTGAATAAACTGTAAACAGCTGACTGTTGTAAAAAATCTGAAACCACCTTTTAAAATTTGGGCTAATTCATACTGATGAGGAATAAGACACTTTGCTAACAATTTTAGCTATTTTCACAGTTTGCTTATTAGATAGCTTGTTTGGAGTCAATGTTTGCTTTAATTCCTTGAAATTTGTATATAATAAGTAGGATAGTCTAGTTTTCGATAGTATAAAGGATAATTAGAACACACATAAAGTCAGTAGACAGCTTAAATTAATAGCTAAAGACGTACAAAGATGTAGAGGATAGTAAAATATCTTCGAAGAAATTTCAGTGGGATTCTCTAAGCATGATATTCCAGACAAGCTGGTTCCAAAAATAAGCTTAATAGTCGTTTGAGAACTACGAAATGGTAAAAATAGGGTGACAAAGTTATTCTCAGAGAGCTAGAATAGCTACTTTGGAATCATAACTTATTTAGAGTTATAAATTGTACGAAACTGTGAACTACCAGATCCGTGAATGACGAAGACAAACGCTACACTCTAAGTATTACTCCAATAATTAACATGAAATCAACAAGAATATTGGGATAAGACAATCAGTAATCAAGGAATAGTTAGTAATTTTCAACAGCCAACTGTTGCGTAATACACCAGCTCATAGTAAACCATCTTAACATTCCTGAACTAATTCTGTGGGTAGTGCACCATTGAGCCTAATAAAGTTTGAGGACATAATCATCGTATGTTTTCTTATTAGCTTTTTTGTAACTATATGAGGAATAGCGTAATTTTATTTAAATTGTGGAACAAAGCCAAAGAAAACTTAGTCAATAATGCACAATCTAGTTTCTGTATTATAAAGTTAATTTGTGCTTGTAAGTGATAAAAATGGGAATATTTACGTACCAATCGTAGTTGTGCCACCAAGAAGAGCTGCTTTTCCTGCAGACAAATAAGTATCAGCTATTGGATCATCCGAGCTCGCGACACCAATGTGACAGTCCAAGTCAATTCCACCTGTGAAAAATCGTAAGCGACTCTAGGTTAATACATACCAGGTAATAATAATTTGTCATTGACGTCGATAATTTCTGTACCGTCGGGGTAGCTCAGATTTTCACCAACCGCCCTATGAATGAGAATTGAGCGTACTTCACTTACTGAATAATACCATGATGAACTAAGACGTCTGATTTGAAAGACACGTCATGGTTTACAACTGTGCCTCCTTTAAGCAACAGTGGTTTGGAAATCTGAAAACCATAGTTTGAAATCAAGACCCTTACATCAGAATCACACGGCATCGACGTGGATACGTTTAATCAATAGAGCTAGACAATTAGCCAGTTTCATACCGTGCGATGAGCGAATCACAAGTCAAGGTCACACAAGTGTAGCTATTATTGGTCGTAAATTTATGTATGTAATCTAATAAACGAATCGAAAAAAGCCCATGTAACGGCCTTGAACGGACAAGTACGGTTGGTTCAATCAATTTGTTGTTGAAACAACTTTCGTTAATTCCAAGCATGCAATGTCCGCCTAGTTGTTGCTTACTGCTATCAACTTAAATTTAAGAAAAATGGTCGTATGCAGTATTCTTGTACAATGTTTACCTTACATTTGGACATAGATAAGCTTACTTTAACCCGCATTGTTGTTAAACAATCAATGATTATTTGGTCGTTCATATCGGTGATTAATTTCAGTTGGACAACAACCAGAAACCAGCATGTAATAGACAGGCGCTTCTTCCTCGTATGAAAAACCTCAGGAATGCTCATCGACAACAAAACGACTATCCAGTTCTTCGTGGTTTCGTCTAACTATTGAGGGTTTCCTAGGCAGCCTGACTAGTAAAAAAGTTCATAGTTCAATTCATTTTTAATTTGTGGATGAATTTCGTCACTTTTAAGAAAAACGGAATTCAAAATAATGGTTCAGAGAGAAAAAAACAACCAAACTTGAGGTCAAACCTAATTTGCATACATATATCCAGTAAAAATTAATACTTATTCATTTTACGGTTATGAGATGTCAGAATTGTGAGCAATATATCTGTTAACCAAAAACACTGGATATTTCTAGGTCTTATTGGTCCATAAGTCTTCATTTATGATTACTTCAATGAAAATCAATTATCATTGTTTGTACAAATTAGTTACGTATTATATATATATATATATGACAATGAATAATATAAACAAGCTATAACTTTTTAAAATCATGAATGGCTAAACATTCTTTACTGACATTCCTAATTCATACTTATTATCCTATCAATTGGCTATGAATGTGAAAGCGATTCATATTAGAAGTCAAATATAAGCACCTATTTGTCCAGTTTGTTTCAAAATTTATCGCACGACTGTCCTTTATTCATGAGTTAGTTTCTCTTTGGCGGTTAGACTTTCTTTTTTCGAACCTTTACGGCAATGCCGTGGTTGATGTCTTTTGATAGGGTTCAGTCATATAGACGGTAGTGTGTTATCTAAAGCTTCAAGGGAATAGTTGTAAATATATATATATATATATATATATATATATATATATATATATATATGCTGCCGGTTCTATTCCATAAAAAAACTGACTCGCTAATAAAATCACTGACTAGGAAAATATTTCAAACCATTTTAACTCTGTCCTGAGTGTTAGAAGGTCTTCATTCAGAAGAGTCATAACGTCTCATGAGGAAAGCCGAGTCTCTTCACAAGTCACAAGGCCGATACCCCTTCCCACAATCACAGAAACCATTCTGTTAGGTACATGCAACGTTCGTACATTGTGGGAGACTGGAAGACTAATCAAGTTGCGGCAGAAATGAAAAGATACAACCACGAGGTGCTCGGCATCAGTGAAACGCATTGGACGCAGGTAGGACAACTGAGACTATCTTCAGGGGAACTGCTGTTATACTTTGGTCATGTAAAGGAAAATGCTTCACATACACAAGGAGTTGCACTGATGCTGTCCAAACATGCACAAAAGGCACTGATAGGATGGGAATCGCATTGACCCAGGATCATCGAAGCATCCTTCTAAACAAAGAAAGAGGAGATTAAAATGAACGACATCCAATGCTACGCACCTACCAATGACTACAATGACGACGTTAAAGACCAATTCTACGGGAGGCTGCATTCAATCGTCTAGAGATGCTCACCAAACGATCTGACGATTCTGATGGGAGACCTGAATGAAAAAGTTGGCATGGACAACACCGGATATGAAGACATCATTGGACGACATGGACTGGGAGAAAGGAACGAAAACGGTGAGAGATTTGCAAACCTATTTACCTTCAACAAACTGGTCATCAGCGGCACAGTGTTCCCACACAGATACGTGCACAGACTGATATGGTTTTCACCGGATCACACTACTCAGAACCAAATTGACCATATCTGTATCAACAAAACGTTCAGAAAGACCATGGGGGCTGTGAGATCCAAAAGAGTATCTGATAGCCTCAGATCACCACTTGCTGATCGTCAAAATGAAACTGAAACTAGAGGAGCACTGGACAACGGGTCAGACAACATCACAGAAGTTTAATACAGCCTTTGTTCGGGAGACTGGAAAGCTCAGCAAATTCAAGATAGCGATCAGCGATAGGTTCCAGTCTTTTCAAGATCTAATCAAAAGAGAGGAAAGTACCATGGAGAAAAAGTGGGACGGGATCAATGAGGCAATCACTTTAATATGTCAGGAGGTTTCGGAGCAGCAAGAAGTACCAGCACAAGGAATAGATCCAAAAACTTAAATATGTGTATGATCTAACAATGAAGGCGGAAAATGCTGCAAGAGAAGGAAACTTAAGACGATTATACGATACAACAAAGAAGCTCGCTGAAAACTTTCGTAAACCGGAGCGATTAGTGAAAAGCAAGGAAGACAAAGTAATCACCAACACTGAAGATCAGCAAAACAGGTGTGTAGAGCACTTTAAAGAACTCTTGAATCGACCAGCTCCACTGAACCCACCCAACATCAAAGCAGCATCCATGGACCCCCCAGTCTATTTAGGTCCGCCAACAATTGAAGAGATCAGCATGGCTATCAGACGAACTGAGCGCGGTAAAGCAGCAGGACCAGACAACATTCCATCAGAGGCAATGAAAGTAGACGTGGCAGCAACTGCAAAAATAATTCATATTCTCTTCAACAAGATTTGGAATGAGGGACAAGTACCAACAGACTGGAAAGAAGGACACCTGATCGACATACCAAAAAAAGGCGATCTCAGCAATTGCGAGAACCATAGAGGTATCGCTTTTCTACCAATACCAGGCAAAGTCTTCAAATTGGTTTCGCTAAACAGAATAAAGGACTTCGTAGACGCCCAACTTCGAGATCAACTGGCTGGATTTCGTAAGGATCGATCGTGTATTTACCGAATTGCAACATTTCGGATCATTGTGGAACAATTGATTGAATGGAATTCACCACTCTACATCAACTTCATTGACTATGAGAAAGCATTTGATACCAGGGACAGGACAACACCATGGAAGCTTCTTCAATAGGACGTCATACCTGAGAACATAGTCAACATCACACGCAATTCTTATGGTGGATTAAACTGCGAAGTCGTGCACGGACGATAGCTGACAGACTCATCTGAGCTGAAGACCGGCATCAGGCACGGTTGCTTACTCTCATCCTTTCTCTTTCTGCTGGTGATCGTCTCGATGAAGAAGACGTCAATATCTGGAGGGCAGCACAGTTTACAGCGGACAGCCACGATGTAGCTGGACGACTTAGACTTCGCAGATGATCTGACTCTTCTATCCCACACAGAAAAACAAATTCAATAGAAGACAACCAGTGTAGCAGCAGCAGGTCTCAACATACGTAGAGGGAATAGCAAGATTCACCGAAACAACATAGCCTTCACCAATTAAATCACTCTTGATGGAAATGCCTTGAAGGACGTTAGAACCTTTAAATGTCTGGGCATCGTCATGGACAATCAACGTGGATCCGACGCAAATGTGAAGGTGCGGATCGGCAAAACAAGAGCTGCATTCCTACAATTGAATAACATCTGGGGCTCAATACATCTGTCAACCAACACCAAACTCACAATCTTCAATACAAACGTCAAGACAGTTCTACTTATGGAGCGGAAACTTGAAGAACTACGAAGGCCATCATCTGAAAGATACAAGTATTCATTAACAATTGTCTACGCAAAACACTGAGGATTCGTTGGCCCGACACCATCAGCAACAGCCTATTGTGGGAGAGAACAATCAAGGCTCCAGAGCAGGAGGAAATTATAAAGAAGCGCTGGAAGTGGATGGGACACACACTGAGGAAAGCATCGAATCGCGTCACAAGACAATCCCTCACTTAGAAACCTCAATGTCAAAGGAAAAGTGGAAGGCCAAGAAACACAATACACCGAGAAATAGAGAAAGGCATGAGAAGAATGAACAAAAATTGGACAGAACTAGAAAGGAAGCCCCGGACAGAGTAGGTTGGATAATGCTGGTCGGCAGCCTATGCTACATCTGGGGTGACAGGCGTAAGTAATATATATATGTATATACATATGTAATATTCTTATAGATGTTGAGGTTTTTCGGGAGATTCAAAAATCGTTCTTAATCTAAATTTGTTTTGTTTATTTAATTAGAATCATTTTCATGGGTTTCTGACATGTCAAACCAGTTGAAAGCAGTTGTTTTCTAAAACATTTCTTTTTGTAAACTTTCAATGAAAGATGTTTGGTTTAGTTGAATAAGCTACATTTGATGGTTACAAAGAATTCATTTATTGATCTTCAATCTTTCATAAAAGCAGAGTTTAAGTGGTTAAACTACTTTATTTTAAGTCAGTGGATTGTAAATTTAAACTTTGTTTTATCTGGGTATCTTGATAATATCAATAAACTTTAAACAATAAAGTGTCTGACTCTCAAGCACATAAGGCTGTACCTGATTACCGAGTTATATTTAAATTATGTTCAAAGGGAACAGTAATAATTACTCTTCAGTTCCAGGTTCTGTGTCTGTCACGAACAATTTGATGTGACCAAAGTGAGTGGTTTTAGTCAACATACGATGTAACATAATCAGTCACTGTTACTGAGCCATGAACTAAGTTGACTAACTGATTCCCATTCACACTACTCTCAATGACCTAATCTAAATCTGGAAAAAATATTTTGCTGTAAGATTCTTGGTTATCTAATCTCAAATTTTGTGAAAAAAGAAAATGATAAAAATAATGGGTTGATTTTAGATAGTAATTTACATGAAGTGGATTTTCGTGCCAATTTACTGTGAATTCTGTTCATTGGTTTTCAGTTCATTTTTATTTTATTAATTTAGTGTGAATGTTTTCAGGAGGCAATTACCTAGTTAATTTACAC